ATTAATTCAAGAGCAAAGGATATAATATAAACTTCTGCATGTTAACAAAGAGATCGTTTAGGTGTTTATAAAACATGATCGTAGGTTTCAGAGCATGATTGTATTTAGGGTTCATTCAGTGCAGATAATGAATGACATTCAGCGGTTCAAATCCACGAGTCGCTCCTTGGAAACCCTATACAGGGCCGCTATGAGTCTGAGCAGGCTAGACAGCACTTGCTAACAAGAACAATTCGATACAGTTAGTGAATGACGCATGCCCTGAATACAAAAGTAAAAATCTACAGTATCTGGGGAAGTGCATCCATTCAACTACTCAGACATGATGGAAATGTTTACGTTTTCACAGAATTTGTTTATTGGGGACTTATGCAAAAAGCTTTGAGGATCCCAGGCCTACCTACACTTTACTTCCCTGTTTTCAATTTTGCCAACAGGTTGATCTTTTTTAAAAGTACCTGAATTGCTCCTGTTAATCCCTTGCTTGAAAGCCCCAGAGTTTCTTATTTCTTTTGATCCCAAGTCCAGTGGTGTCGAATGTCCTCTGAGATAGGGCTTCTGGTTGGTTCTTCCCCCCCTTGTTCCCCACCCTTCTTGGTCTCCGGGTCCTTGTCCTGGTTGTTCCCGCTGCCAAGTTCTCTTCCCCTCCTCCAGGTCTTAGCTCCAGCGTCTCCTCCTCCTCTGGCTCCTGTCCACCTCTCAGTCCCTCGCTCCGGCTGCTCTTGGCTGAGCAGTGTATTCATTCACGTGCACTGTGGGGCCTCCTGCCGGGCTATAAGTGTCTGAGGTTGGCACGCTTTGGTCAGACCTCTGTGTTCTCAGTACCCATCTCCTGGATAAGAGAACCAACCTTTTCCAGACCGGGGTCTATAAGCCCATTTGTCAGCTCCTTAACTGCAGAGTGGTGGGGTGTCGGCCTTGTGTGCAGACTCCCATCGCCCACCGTGGGCCTGGCAAGCTGTTTCCCTTTTGTTCCTCCCCCTCCACACGGTGACCCCATGCTGCTGAGAGACAGTTGCTTAGCTTGCTCACTGCTGTCTGTCCCTGGCTCGTGTCCAGTCTATGAGCACAACAAGAACAGTGGGCCGTCCAGTGTAAGCCCTGCCCCTGTCTAGATCCTTCTCTGAATGGCCAAACACTTGGTGTTGTTGTTTGTGTTTTCCTCCTTTTCGGAACTGTGTGGTCCTTATCTGTTTCTACTGCATAGAAGCTGACACCACCTGCCTTGGGTTGCTGCGGTAAGGACATCACTGAGACAAGCCAGTGCAGGTCTGCGGTCCTTTTATAGATGGACACTCATTTAAGGATGATCATGTGTGAAAAGAAACGGAGCATTTCATTAGGCTGTAGAAATCTGTTAGCACCACGTGGCATTTGCTCCAAACATCAGTCAATAGTACTCACCGCCCTGCGGACATGTGGGACGGGCCTTGGACTGTGTGTATTGAGCACCGTGTTAGGGCTGGGAGCCTCAGCTGAGGTTGATCTGTGTTCTGGTCTTTTTGTCCACAGCGACTTGGGAACATTTGCTATTGATACATGATCTCCAGTGCTGGTGTTTATTTCTGTACTTATCCCAACACCGCCTCAAATCTTTCTAATAGCTAAGTGATTATTTCATGAAACATTTTTTCTGGTTAGGCGATCCTGCCATCATTATGGTTCAAAGAAGTGAGACCCATAGGAATTTATACTATAACTACAAAGCTACATGGCAGAAAAGAGGGCCAACCCAACCTCCAGTTCCTTTGCAATGAGGCTTTGCACACAGAGTGAATACAAAGTATGCATTTGACCCAAAGAAGGAGTTCTTGGGACCTCTGCTCAGCAGTTCTGGCCCAGAACATCCACTCCTGTCCCGCTTAGTTTAAGCCTGGCCTCCTCTTGTGTCTTTCACCCTAAAAGCGGCTGGTGAGTTCCAAACACATTTTCAGTTAGCAGCTAAGACCAGGGTAACATCAGGAAAATTACATAATGTATAAAATCACAAGAATTTGGAGGGAAAGGAATGTCAGTCGTAGGAACAATAGACTGAGGCTAAAAATCTAATCCACAATAAATGACACCTGTTTCGTCTCTGTTAGGGGAGAACAGCCAGCCACTGAACACTGTTGATCTTTCAACATGGTGGTCACTGCTGTGCGGGTGAGGGCCAATCCAGGGTAGCCAGCATGTAAGTAAAGAGCTATTAGAACACACAGAGATAATACTTTAAATACAAAAGAAGATCTCTGGGAGTGGAATTTGAAGCAAAAGGGAAGAACTAATGGCCTTCTGCTTCCTTAAAGATTAAATGAAACCCTTGGAAGTTGAGTTGATCCCCACTCATTGCAAACTGCAGTCAGCAGTTCAAAGCAATCAGTTAATAATGATAAAGACAAAGCCAACAAAAACCCTATACAGTGTCGCTATGAGGTGACTCGATAGGATAAGCACTGGACTGCAAACCACAGGTTGGGTCTTCCCACTCAGTTTGTACAGAATTGAAACCGACTCCATGGTGTTTACCAACAACAACCGAGTTGAAATCCACCGAACAGCAGACAACAACACAGCCATTGTAAAGAATACTGCCTGGAAACCCCATGCCGCCATTCTACTTGGCTCAAAGCAACGGACCCACGCACACCTCATGAGGAGTCCTGGAACGGCGCTGTGGCTAGTACATCAGATAGCAAAGGTGCGTGAACTGCAAGGTCGGTGGTTCAAGCTCACCAGTTACTCCTTGGAAACCCTATAGAGGGTCGCTGTGTGTGTCAGAATCGACTCAACAGCACTTCACAACACTTCATGAAGAAGCTGCAGAATGTGTTTTATACATCTGCCTACTAGTATCTGGCAACGCCTACACTTGATTTTGTTCTGCAAGTATAAGGATGGGGGGGTTTAATGGAAGAAGTTTCATTGGTTAGTAAGCATGTACAATACTAATCACTGATTTTGAGATGAAATTTAAATGATCTAAGATACTGTTTACCTGGACTACGCAAAGGCTTTTGAATGTGTGGATCATGACAAGCTATAGACAACATTGTGAAGTATGAGTGTTCCGGAACACTTAATTGTGCTCATGAGGAATCTGTACCTGGACCAAGAAGCAGTTGTTCAAACAGAACATGGAACACCGAATGGTTTAAAATGAAAAAAGGTTTACGACAAGGTTGTATTCTTTCACCGTACTTATTCAACCTGTATGCTGAGCAAATTATCCGAGAAGCTAGGTTCTATGAAGAAAAACGTGGCATCAGGATTGGAGGAAGACTCATTAACAACCTGCGATATGCAGATGATACAACCTTGCTTGCTGAAAGTGAAGAGGACTTAAAACATTCACTGATGAAGATCAAAGAGCCTTCAGTGTGGATTACATCTCAATGTTAAGAAAACAAAAATCCTCACCACTGGACCAATAAACAACATTCTTATCAATGGAGAAAAGATTGAAGTTATCAAGGACTTCATTCTTCTTGGATCAACTATCAACACTCATGGAAGCAGCAGTCAAGAGATTAGACGACGTGTTGCATTGGGCAAATCTGCTGCACAGGAACTTTAAAAAGTGCTGAAGAGCAAAAGATGTCAGCTTGAGGACTAAGGTGTGCCTGACCCAAGCCATGGTATTTTCAATAACCTCATACGCATGCGAAAATTGGACAGTGAATAAGGAAGACCGTAGAAGAATGGATGCTTTTGAGTTATGGTGTTGGAGGAGAATATTCAAAGTACCATGGGCTGCCAAAAGAACCAACAGATCTGTGTTGGAAGACGTGCAGCCAGAGTGCTCCTTGGAGGCCAAGATGGCCAAACTTCATCTCTCATACTTCGGACATATTGTTAGGAGGGAGCAGTCACTGAAGAAGGATATCATGTTTGGTAAGGTGGAGGGTCAGAGAGGGAGAGAAAGCCCGCCAGAGAGATGGATTGGCCAAGTGGCAGCATGGATGGACTCAAGCGTGGCAACAGTAGTGAGGTTGGCCGAGGACCGGGCAGTGTTTCGTTCTGCTGTGCATAAGGTCGCTATGAGTCGGTACCCACTCGATGGCCCTAATAACAACAACAACAACAACAACAAGACACTGTCAGCTGGTGTGAGGTGGTTTTAAAGTGTGTGTGAGAATTGTGATTAGGAACTTTGGAGCATTTGATAGGGGCTGTTTTGACACAATAGCATGTTCTGTTATCCCTGAAGGACAGAGTAGCTCATTCAGGTGGCCCAGCTACTGGTTAAGCACACGGCAATGAATGTCCTCAGTCCAGCTGCCCCGTAGGGAGAGTCCGGGCGCCAGCGGGCAAAGGCCGCGGGGCCCGGGCCTCCGACGCCCAGGCCCGACGCAGAGCCCGCAGGGCGCCCCCTCCGGAGGCGGCTGTGGTCCAGGCGTCCGCGCCATGCTCGGACGCCTGCTCGGCGGCGGGAGCGCGGCGCAGCCA